TAGTTGTGGGTGTCCCGACCAGACCCCCTGTCGGATTCACCCGTCTCTGCCACCCGCACTGGCACCTGACGTCCTGCTCTGTCTGAGTAGAGCCCTGTGTCTCCTTCCTTTGCCTCATAGCCATGGCAGGTGCCTGCTGTATTTTTTTTTTCTTTTTTCTTTTTTTTTTGGTACCATGGATCAAACTCAGGCCCTTATGCTTGCTTGCGAGGCAGGCGGCAGAACCACTGAGCTAAATCCCCAGCCCTGCTGTACTTTTTTTAAAGAGGACTGAACTCTGTATTATAAAAATCTCTTAAAATCTTCAGAAAAGAACCCTCTTCTGGTAACTTGTTTAGTAGCATTCTTAGGTTCAGAAATTGCTTTCAGATGAATATACTTTAGAAATAACAATTCATGGTTTGTCGTGTTCGCAGTGAAAACAAAAGCAAACAGTCCTCCAAAGCAGTGGTCTTTTGTGTTCCCGACGGGTATCTGATAATCTGGGGCACTTAACTCGGCTCAGTCCTTGTCTTCTGATGCCCCTGGGCTGGAGACCACAAATCTGCACTCTGAGCAGGCACCCTGTGCTCACAGGTGGTCCTCCAGCCTTACTTTCAGAAATGCTGATCAGTTCACCTGCTTTAGTAAGGCTGGCTCGCTCCCTCCCTCCCTCCCTCCCTCCTTGGGTGAGGTGATGCTGGTCCTGGGTCCAGGGGCTCACGCATGCTCTGCAAGCACCCTCACCCCTGAGCTACATCCCCAGCCCTAAAATACTGTTTAAAAGCTTTAATGCCCCGAGTTATTTTTCTTTTAAGACATTGTTTCCCAAGCAGTTGGGTTTTGTCTCTTTTTCTGATCTTGATCATATTATCCCTCTTCCACTTAAATTGGAAGTTTTATGCCATTTTGGAAGTCCAGGGCCTTTCCATCTGACTATGTCCTACCTATATGGATTTCCCTTCTTATCCTCCCTCTTTTCCTTACCTGTGAGATTGAACTTTCAGAATTCATGGGATTATTGTGAGGCACATGAGTGCCTGGAACATACAGGCTGCCCATTAAAAGACTTTTCTTTCCCAAACTGAATGCAACATAGCCAGCAAGTCAGGTCAGGATCTTTTAAATTTTTCTTTGTGCTTTTTTTTTTGTTTTTCTCCTTATTTTTTAAGTTAAATGGATTTTAGGTTTCACATTTGATCTTAGCCAAAAGGCTGAGAAGCGATGGATTTTAGGTTTTAAGTTGGTTAGAGGAATCCATTCCTCTGGTGAGAACACTGAAATTCTGCTTGTATGCAGTGATTTTTGTATCTTGCCAATGAGTTTCAAAGACAGCAAAGGCTATGTCTGGAAAGAACAGTCCCAGTACGGTATGGTAGAATGCATTTTGGCAGTGTCTTAGATATGTATTGCCATTAATTCAGAGCGTTTTGTCAGACCTACTGATGTATGCTTTTATATCTAAATTTTAAACGATTTGGACACAGTTTATAAGCATTACTTATTTTTAAGAGGATAAGTTCATTTTAGACTTAAAGGGCAGAATATTAGTAATAGTCATTAGCTTTTAAAAATAAACTCATGGGCCGGGGATTTAGCTCAGTGGTTCGGTGGCCTGCCTTGCAAGCCCAAGGACCCGAGTTCAATCCCAGGTACCAGAAA